CCTCCCGGACCGGGGCACGAACCCGTGTCCCCTGCATCGGCAGGCGGACTCCCAACCACTGCGCCACCAGGGAATCCCTGGTATTTTTTAATTTAATTGTTAATGGGATTGTTTTCTTAATTTCCCTTTCTGATAGTTTGTTATTAGTGTATAGAAAGCAGATTTTTTTTTTTTTTTGGCCACAGCACGTGGCTTGTGGGATCTTAGTTCCACGACCAGAGATTGAACCCACACCCTCAGTAATGAAAGCGTAGAGTCTTAACCAGTGGACCACCGGGGGATTCTCTTTTTTTTTTTTTTTTAAGAAATTCAGTAGATTTTTGTTATTGCTTTTATACCTACAAGTTTACCATATTTGTTTATTCTAACAGTTTTCTGGTGTAGTTTTAAGAGTTTTCTACAGTTGACAGCAAAGGGTTTAGGGGTGCCAGTTGCACAGTTGAAAATCTGAGTGTAACTTTAAAGTCAGCCTTCCATATCTACGCTTCAACCAACCACAGATTGTGTATTACTGTAGTTGGTATTTATTGAAAAGAATCCATGTATAAGTGGTCTTGTGCAGTTCAAGCCTGAGAGGTTCAAGGGTCAACTGTATTATATATCATGTCATCTGCAAATAGAGACAGTTTCACATCTTTTTTTCTGATTTGCTAGAACTTCCAGTACTATGTTGGATAAAAGTTGCGAGAGTGGGCATCCTTGTCTTGTTCTTGATCTTAGAGGAAAAGCTTTCCATTTTTCACTGTCGAGTTTGTTGTTGACTGTGGGCTTATCATGTATGGCCTTCATTATGTTGAGCTACATCACCTCTGTACCCACTTTTCTGAGAGTTTTTAATCATGGATGGATTTCTCATTTTGTCAAATGCTTTTTCTACATCTATTGATATGATTGTGTGATTTTTATCCTTCATTTTGTTAATATGGTGTATCACGATTGATTAAATTGTAGATGTTGAACCATCCTTGCATCCCAGGGATAAACCCCACTTGACCGTGGTGTATGATCCTTTCAGTGAATTGTTGAATTTAATTTGCTAATATTTTGTTGAGGATTTTTGCATTTATGCTATGTTCATCAGGCGTATTGGCTTGTAATTTTCTTATAGTGTCCTTGTCTGATTTTTGTATAAGGGGGATGCTGGCCTCGTGATATGAATATGGAAGTGCTCACTCTTGGAAGAATTTGAAGATTGCTATTATTTCTTTAAATGTTTGGTAGAATTCACCCATGAAGGCATCTGGTCCCAGACTTTTGCTTATTGGGAGGTTTTTGATTACCAACTCAATCTCCTTTGGGTACAGTGATGGGTCTGTTCAGATTTTTATTTCTTCATGATTCAGTCGTGGTAGGTTGTATATTTCTAGGAATTTATCCATTTTCTAGGTTGTCCAGTTTGTTGATGTATAATTGTTCATAGTTCTTTCAGTACTTTTAAAATAGCCAAAATATAAGTAATCATTAAATTGAAGACTAGAAACTGTCAGGTTTTCTGTATGGAACTCTACGTCTTTCTACGTAGTTCATAACCCAGGTTTTCATGAATGCATTAAATAGATCACCCTAAATATCAACACATGATAAAAACCAATTAATATGTAGAGACATCTGTAAAATATTTTATTTTTAGAAAGTTTCTTGACTTTCTTTTTTTTTAATTAATTAATGAATTTATTTATTTATGGCTGTGTTGAGTCTTCATTGCTGTGCACAGGCTTTTCTCTAGTTGTGGCGAGCAGGGGCTACTCTTCGTTGCAGCGGGCTTCTCATTGCGGTGGCTCCTCTTGTTGCGGAGCACGGGCTCTAGGCGCGTGGGCTTCAGTAGTTGTGGCATGCGGCTTCAGTGGTTGTGGCTTGTGGGCTCTAGAGCGCAGGCTCAGTGGTTGTGGCACACGGGCTTAGTTGCTCCGCGGCATGTGGGATCTTCCCGGACCAGGGCTCAAACCCATGCCCCCTGCATTGGCAGGTGGATTCTTAACCACTGAGCCTCCAGGGAAGTCCTGTAAAATATTTTAAATGTTAGTATTGAAATCTTCATTTTGTTCTTGTAACCAAGAAATGAAATGATGCAAAAATTAACATGAAAATCTTGTTACAGAACCAAAATAAAAGAAGAATAGAAAAGATGGTTGTTGAAAATTAGAGATATTTTCTAAAGACAGTAAATAATCTGCTTCTCCATAGGTACAATGGACAATGGGACCTTGGCCAGGAAGTCCTTGATGACATCATTTATAGAGCTCAACTAGAACTCTTTTCTCAACCGTTATTGGTAAGTTGTTATATTTAGTTTTTATTAAACATTCCTGTGCCTGAAAAGGGCACTAATAGGTTTAAAATTCAGTATGTAATATATGAGGCATTTTAAATCATTGAGAGAAAAAGATTTATTCCATAGTAACAATTGGAGAGAAAACAAAATTGGTTTACGTCCTGTCCTCTTACAACATATCAAAATAAAGTTCAGATAAATTAAAGAATTAAATGTCTTTAAATCCTTTAAGAAAAGAAAGAAGAAAAATTATAACTATTTACTCAAATTTCTAGAGAAGGAAGGACTTTCTAAGCTTTAGTGATGGTGACACATCACCAGAAAAGGTTGATTTTTCTTTTCCTTACATAAACATCTGAATTCTAAACCATCAGTTTTTGTTTGTTTGTTTGTTTTGTTTTGTTTTGTTGGCTGCACCATGCAGCATCTGGGATTTTAGTTCCCTGACCAGGGATTGAACCCATGTCCCCCTGCAATGGAAGTGTGGAGTCTTAACCACTAGACCACTGGATATTCCCTAAACCATCAGTTTTTTAAAACCAGAATTAATATGTGGTACACGAATTGAGAAAAATGTTATCAACAGGCATGACAAAAAAGCCAATTAATATTTTGTTCTATATAAAAATTTCATACTCTTCCACAAAATAAATATGTCTCCAAAGGGTAAATGATCAATCAAAAAATAAATGTGAGCATCCAGTAGCAGAGTAAGGAAGGCATTCTCTATGTTACCAGTAACAGTATGACACAACTCTGATCATCCCTTTGCAGAAGCAGTTTGGTAATGTGTACGTATTTTCTTTCCCATCTCTAGCAACATTTCCCAAGAAACTACTTAAAATTTTTTTTAAGTATTGTGAACACTAGATCGATGTTAGTTTAATTGCAAAGGAATCAGAACTCTAAACATTTTACAGCAGAGAATGATTACGTTATGTTATTTACTTGATGAAGTTCTATGTTTGAAAATTCATCTTAAAGGAACCTGCTAGCTGTGTTAAGTGGTAAAGCAGTACACAACTATTTTTTAAATCTAGACAGGACAAAGGAAAGAAAACAAATGCTAATAGTTGTCTAGGTGATTCAACTGTGGATAGTTTTTATTTCTTTGCAATTTTCTGTGTTTTCTAAGCTTTTTGTAGTATTTTATAATGGTATTTAAAAAATATTATTTATGTATTTTTACTTGCAGCAATTTAAGAGTACAATTTTTAAAGCCATTTTCATATCATTTTTTATATCTTAAGCTAAATATAAATTTATTGAACTAACATTTACATTAATGCTTTCATATTTGAGGGTTTTTTTCCCTCATGTCAACATCCCTAATTTTACTCTAAAGGTTACTGTAAAGCAAATGGACAGGGAATTCCCTGGTGGTCCAGTGGTTAGGGTTCCACACTCTCACTGCCGAGGGCCCAGGTTCGACCCCTGGTTGGGGAACTAAGATCCCACAAGCTGCACGGTGCAGCCAAAAAGAACATCAAAAAACAAATGGACAACAAGATAAAAAATTATATCATGAGGGCTTCCCTGGTGGCGCAGTGGTTGGGAGTCCACCTGCCGATGCAGGGGACGTGGGTTCGTGCCCCCGTCTGGGAAGATCCCACATGCCGCAGAGTGGCTGGGCCCGTGAGCCATGGCCACTGGGCCTGCGCGTCCAGAGCCTGTGCTCCACAACGGGAGAGGCCACAGCAGTGAGAGGCCCACGTATCGCAAAAAAAAAAAATAATAATAATAATATCATGATAATAAGACCATGCATGTGAGACTCTTTAAATTCATACTTTTATCCTTGTAAGTCTTATAAATTAACTAGAGGTGGCATTTTCAAGGCAATATAAGTAGAGAGATTAGTAATCTGTAGTTCTAGAATAATCCTTTATTGTTAGGGGTCTCCAAGGGACCCAGTGAGTAACACTCCTTTTCTCTAAATAGAGCCCAGTGATATAGATAAAATAGTTGGTAGATAGAAAAGCAAGCATCATCTTTATTGCTGATAAAGGCTAGATTGAAAGACTTCACTCCCTACACTTTTATCTGGTTGTTGGAACAGCCCACTGGAGAGAAGGTTTGAGTTGGCAGAGCAGGCACAGGTATCCAGGTTGTTGCATTTCACTTGTCCTCTCCAAGTGGAGAGGGAGGGAGAAAACGGTCCTCTAGCTTAAGGTCTTTGCTAGATTAGGACTACCCAATCAGGAAACGCGGAGCAGCCAATGGCGATTACTCTCCAGGCACGTATCTCACTCTCCTCCATGGAGGACAGAAAGTGGTGGAACAAAATGCCAGACGTGTTTAGGGAAAATTTCTCCTCATGGAAACAAAGCTAATTTTTTTATTATAGATTAAATTTTGCATGTTATTTATCATCTGAATAATCAGAAACTTATTCTAAATTTTCTTATATCAGGGTTCAAATGTTAAAAACACTTTTGGGCTTCCCTGGTGGCGCAGTGCTTGAGAGTCCGCCTGCCGATGCAGGAGACGCGGGTTCGTGCCCCGTTTCGGGAGGATCCCACATGCCGCGGAGCAGCTGGGCCCGTGGGCCATGGCCGCTGAGCCTGCGCGTCCGGAGCCTGTGCTCCGCAAATGGGAGAGGCCACGACAGGGAGAGGCCCGCATAAAGCAAAAAAAAAAAAAAAAAAAAAAAAAAAACACTTTTTCTTTCTTTGGAATGTTTTTTCGCTTTGAAAGTCAACAACTTCAAGGAATCAATGGGGGTGTGTGACTCACATTATTTTAAGTGAATTCTCATTTTAAAGCCTGCCTAAAAGAATATAGACCAGTGGAGATACAGACATTTCTGACATATTATGCTTGTATATTTTATAATAGACGTTTTAAGTACATATTTTTAAAAGTAGGGAAACATGAAGTGTAAAATAAGCATAAATTGTATATTGGGTGTAAATATATAGAGACTTCCGTTATCATTTTAGGTTGCCAATGCCATGAAAAACTCATTACCATTTGATGCTCCTGATTCTTCACAAGAAGGCCAGAAAGTACTTAAAGTCGAAGTCACTCCAACAGTGCCGAGGATTTCTCGGACTGCGATTACAACAGCTTCAATCCGTCGCCATAGATGGAGGAGAGAAGGTGAGTACGAAATCCCTACAGCCCACTCATGGATTAAAGTAAGTTTTTACAGACTATATTAGCACATGATATTATAGTACTTTGTGTAATTACAGTAAAATTGTTTAGTTGTTAAAAATAGCACTAGAAATATGGTTTAAATACCTGAATTCATTTTAATATAAATATGTATATATATTTTATAAAGCAGAAAGATGTTATTTAGACTGCTCTGTGAATGTTAAAACAGAAAATAAGATCGAGTTAATTTTTGTCTTTTTTTGAACTAGTAATAACAATAGGAAAGAAATTTCTGTAAGCCTGTTACTATACTGGGAAGAAAGGTGCCTGTATGAGAATTGTGGGAGAAAACTATATAACTGGCCAAACTAATGGTATAATACAGCTATCCATAAAAGAATTGATTTTTATCTTTCTTTTTCTTTTCATATAAGTGCTGAGTCCAGCAGTATTTCATAGGCGTATGGTACTTGAATAGTCAAGCTGTCTTGCCTAAGAGATATTAATTGCTGTTTTAATGATCTCTATTTTTCTCTCCTATTCATTTGCAAACCTCACATTATTCATCTGCTGCCTTATGTGTGTGCATGCTGTGCACACACATGTAACTATATAAATAATGTTTGCATTTATATCATATCCATATATACATTCTCTTATCTGCCTGGGTCAAAATGCTCAGAAAAGAATAGAGCAGCACAAAAGCACTAAAATTTTATATGTTGAATCCCAGATGGCTTTGACTTCTCAAACGAGGCTGACTCGAGTATTCCTGGCTCCCCGATCCAACACGGCTCCACTGACCTAGGGATCAAACGTGTGCAAGAGGGGGAGGTGCTGGTGCGCAGGACTCCTGAGCACGGCTCACCGGAGCCCAACTCAGCAGCAGCCACAACAGAGGGTAGGACAGAGATGAGGAGGCAAAAGTCAGTGAGGCAGTTGCTGGAGAAGGATCCTGGCTCTCTCTCCCCAAGTAGAACATCTTTCCATTCTAGTGTGTGTTTCCACTACCCCAGGGTATATTAGCTCCTCCTTGCAAAGTGCACCCCCCCCATATGGCTAGCACCAGGTCAAGTACAATCTTTAGTTACCATTTGTGCTGGCCTGGAGTCTGCATCCCTGTGTAATTAAAGAACAGCTTGGCATGGCTACTAACAAGGGAGAGGCCTGTCTCCAAAAGGTCTGCAAATGCTTGGGATTTTTTCATTACTGAGCATGTTTATTCTAACATCAGGAAAGGAAAAATGCACCCAATGGACATGAGCCTTATTAGTCAGTATGCATCAATTTCATTTATATAGTAATATATTCTTTTGAAAATATGTGAGGAGAGTTGTAAAGCAGTAACACATTATCTTTGAGAAACTGGACTAAAGTGTGGAGCCGGCTGATTTGTCTCTAGTCCCAGGGTGGTCAATTAACAAGAGTTTCTTATCTCTTTGACAGAATAAACAAGTATTGATTGGCTCTTTATAATCGTTGAGTCAGGTTGCCTGGGTCTAACTAGTGAACTACTGACATCTTTCCTCTATAAATGTGCTGTCCTGGTGCACACTACATTTTATCATTTATTGTAAATAATGATTGCCTTATAAAGCTCCCAAACAGAATTGAAATGTATTATTTAGAGGTTATAAATCCTAGCAGATCCTTTTTTCTACAGTGTGGGTATCTCAAATGAGAATTTTTTTTACCCCTCCCCTGCCACCACACCCACGACCACTATCTGGAAAAGAATACTTCTCTCTGATAGGAAACTATTTGTTTGCACTTTTACATGTGATGCCATAGAAGCTGGTTTTGTGAAAGAGGGAACTGTGGCCTGATAGTTTTTCATTATTTAATATATTGCTGCTGTGGAAGCTATACACTAATTTATGAAATATAGCAAGAAGTTTTAAAATAGGTTACATATTTTTACTTATTTTAAAGACCAAACATACATGAAGCAGTTACCTTCTACCTTAGGGAAATCTCTTGCTTTTTGGTGCATTAGAAATTTGAGCATGCTCAGTAAGAATCTAAATCTACCCTCTGTTCCCTTGCCCATTTGCCTAGATTGGCCTTACTTCATTTAACATTGTTGCATGTGCATGATCTAGGGACACAAAGAAGTTGGTGCTATGAAGAGAATCATGTGAAAGACGCAGGCTTCCCTTTTCATTCTTCTGTATCTCTTTATGTTATCCCTGGGAGTCAGTTTTATCTTGTATAATGCATAAAAATAAGTATATGAATAGATGTCGAATTCATAGTTGGCCTAAATTGAACAAGTCTATTTCTCCACATTCTTGATGCCTAAATGAGACACTTGAAGTGTATCTACTACCATTGTTAGAATATTGGAGTATTTGTGCTAAACAGAAGTACATTAACACTTGATGAAATTCTAAAAAGTATGGGATTAGGTAGAAACAATTCTTCCTGTTAATCATAAGTCATACACTTTGAAAAAGAAATCAAAATAGAATTCCTTTAAAATATCCTATTAAATGTTAAAACATCCTATTTTAATATCTCCTATTACTGGTAAAATTTCACTTTGTGAGGGTGGGGTGTAGCCACAAAGAAAGAGGAATGAGTCCCTTTGGTGTGTTTGAAATTTCTCAAATTATTTTCCCTTTTAATCTAGCTTAATTGTAGCTTTAAATCAATATTAGTAAAAGCTAATTTATAAGGAAAGGCAGACATAAATAGAAAAGTTCATTAAAAATCCTTTTTGGTTGCCTCATCTTTGGATCATGAATAGTATTATCACCCAGGGAGAAAATTAGAAAGGAAAAAAGTTGTTAGACACAATTGCCTTTTTATTCCTTGAGGTTTTTTAAACAGAAATATGGAAATTGCTAAAACGCATAAAAAGTTTTGGTAATTCTGAAGTCTTCTGGAGCTTTTGGATTAGCATCAATAATTGGTCTTCTAAAAGAAAAAGAAGAGAATTCCCTGGTGGTCCAGTGGTTAGGACTCTGTGCTCTCACTGCCAAGGGCCCAATTTCAATCCCTGGACAGGGAACTAAAATCCCACGAGCCGTGTGGTGCAGCCAAAAAAAGAAAGAAAGAAAAAAAAGAAAAAGAAAACATGTTTTCTAATGGTTTTAAATAGTTTTACAGTTAAAGTTGTATTTATTATATGTTGAAATTGAAGGGAGAATATGAGCCCATCACCTACCTTTATCCCGATTATGAAGTAACATTTTATTTGTGACTTTTAAAAGCTGAATTTAAAGTTATTACTAAACTGAGGACAACGCTTGTGATTAAAGTATATTCAGTGTTCCACTATACTGAAATAGCATTTCTTAGTATATAAAATATCTGTATATTCTCTTGCATGTTGGTTTTTATGTTATCATCATCTCTTTATGGCCATATTGCTTGGGCATCAGATCTGCATGTGGCAAGATTCAGAAGCTAGCACTAAGTCTCTCAGTCGCCTTTCCTAACCATATATATACCCAATGATACATTTCTGTTCACTCCTAGTTTTATATTACTGATATTAATTCTGAACCAGTAACTATCTTTTCTTGGGCATTGTGGAGTTCTTTAGAGTAATTGTAAATAAATTGCTAAGATGATGTCATATAAAGTTTTTGTTTTGCTGTACATTATATACGGTTCTTTTGAAGAAGGGGTTGAGAGAAGTGGTGTCAGCTGCATCTTCATATGGCTTTGCATGATGAATAAAGATTGTTAAACTGCTGGATATAACAAGATGCCTTTTGCTTTAAGGATAGCCTAGTTCATTCTTCTTTTGAAGCAAAGAAATAACTAATCCATATGAGAAAACATTTTTATTTTTTTTCAGGTACTGTGTTAAATAAAGATTGTGTTTAAGTATATCATGTATATTTTACTTAGGTAACTTGTATCTCAAAGTAATGTTTTTTCAGATTTCTTTCCTAACATTTTACCTTAACTATAATATTGGTATCTGTATGTAGATTCAGATTTAACTTTCTTACAGTCTGGTAAACATATTTAAAAGGTAGCAAACTGCTATCAGTTTTTGAAAGAAACAAATGTTCTACTTTCTAAGAGAATGTTGATCATACTTTCAGTAAGAGAATTGGGCTTTCTGGAAACCCCAAGCTAAATATATTATATATGCTTCCTTTCTTACAAAATCCCAAGATAAGGATTCTTTCATTATCTGCAGTTTCTGCATGAAACGTAATGAGACACTATAGGATCACTATATTGTGATCCTGACAATAATATATCTCAGTACTAAAAATATTATAGAAATACATCATATAAAAATTATTGTATATATTATTTATATATTATAAAATAGTAAAAATTCTTCCTCAGTATCCCTGCTGGTTCCCTACCCTTGCTCTCTGATAATCAAATATTTTCACATTAATCAATCAAGAAAATATGGAAACCAGTGAGTAGAGATTTTCATAAGACAAAATGTGAATATGAAGTTACTGGAAGCAATCTAGAGTTTTTAGTTTAGAGTTAGAAAATGTACTAGTTCCATGTTAAAGGTTTTAAAGCCATTTAGAAGCACTTAGCTGTTGAATAAATATAAAATTTCATTGTAGTTAAAAAGGGTTTGGGGATGAGTTTTTGACATTATTCTGGGTGACTGAAATTAGAAGGGGGTCTCATTTGTAAGTTCTATTTTATGATAGGTTAAGGAAGATATGAGGGAAAATTTTTGTTTTTTTAAATAGATATGGTCACCTCAAATTGACAAGGTGTATCATAAAGATTTATGTAACAAAATACTGTATTTTACCTTAAGTTGTTTTGTGTGTCTAAATATTGATAGTATACTAGGTTTGTTTGTGGATAGTTTTACAAAAGCTAGCCTAATTAAAGCTAAATGAATAGAATGAATAACATTAGAATTCTAGATTAAGGTTTCTTCCCCTAAATTATTTAGGGGAAGTGTTGATAGCAAGGGCCATTGCTGACCTATAGCAAACATTACCTAGGAGATAAGGTCAGTTGAGTTGTTATTCACAGCTGCTTCTTATTTAATTTAGCTATTGCTGAGTCTGTCTGATTTGTTTTTTAGGTGCTGAGGGTGTAAATGGAGGAGAGGAGTTGGTAAACCTGAATGATGCAGATGAAGGATTTTCATCAGGGGCTTCCCTCAGCAGCCAGCCAATTGGGACCAAACCATCCTCCTCTTCTCAGAGGGGAAACTTAAGGAAAGTAGCAACTGGGCATTCAGCCAAGGATAAAGAAACAACTTCTGCTATCAAATCCAGTGAGAGCCCTCGAGATTCAGTAGTTCGCAGGCAGTATGTACAGCAACCAACTGATCTTAGTGTAGATTCAATTGAGCTGACGCCGATGAGGAAACACCTGAGCCTGCCTGCTGGCCAGGTGGTGCCAAAAACTAATAGTATAAGTCTAATCCGGACAGCCAGTGCTTCCTCAAGTAAATCGTTTGACTATGTAAATGGCAGTCAAGCAAGTACCAGCATTGGGGTTGGCACTGAGGGTGTTACTAATTTAGCAGCTAACAATGCTAATCGATATTCAACTGTCAGTCTGCAGGAAGACCGGCTAGGTCAAGCTGGAGAAGGTAAAGAGCTCCTCAGCCCAAGGGCTCCCTTAACCAAGCAGTCTCGATCCCCAAGTTTCAATATGCAGCTAATATCCCAGGTGTAGTCTTGACATCCTCTCTCATTCTTCTGCTTACCTTCTAAACTGAACATTTCATGTGCAAGAAGACACTTCATCGCACTTGTGAAAATATTGGTCATCATAAACAGATTTGATTTAGTTTAGGTATCTTCATACTGTATTTTGTATGGAAACAGCAATAAGGTTTTCTTTTCCCTTCTTCCTATATCTTCTCTTCACCTATTCCTTGTAAATGTGTTTGTGAAGCAGTAGAAAATGTTTGTGTTTTCCACACCTTCCTTTCTCCTTGGGTGAAGTGCAATCCATCGTAGGCTGATCGGTCCCATTTCAACACTGTGAGACTGAGGTTATGTTAGAGGAAATGGTGTATATGATCCCTATGAATGATTCTTCAGCTTTTGTTAAAAAAAAAAAAAAAAACGGGTTTGTTCTCATAATCTATGAAGATTACTGGGTCATATTTTTTCTCTCTTAACCAGGAGTGCCTCAGAGATTCTGCTATGACTTTGGACTTCTCTGAGTCTGTGCAATTATTTTCTTGAGAAGCATGGGGAAAGGTGGTAGACTGCTGCACTTTTTCATTAAAATGAGGGTGGCTCATTTTTCCCCCATCTCCTTTATCTCGAGGACACAATGTTCAATTACTGAGGCATTTAAATCAAGTTGTGGCCACCTCTGTTGGAGGACAGGGCTCTAAGTTGATTGTGTAATAGATAATGCACTTTCTCAATGGCTCTATGGTCATTATTAACATGTCTTCCCTCCTCCCCACAAGGACATAAGGTCATTTCTGTCCTTCCAAGTTTGAACAGCTAATAAATCAGAGAATCCAAGGGGCATGTTCTATTTCCCAGGAATGATTGACACTTTGGTGCTGGGGTTTTTTGGGGGGGAGGGGGTAGTTTTTGTTTAGCTTGTGTGGGATTGTGTGTGAGGGGAAGTTTTGATTGTTTTTTTTCTTTTCCTTTGTGAGCTGTTGATGACTGAAGTAGAACAGGTACGTCTTCAGGTAAAGAGAGGGATTTCTCAACCCACTTTCTGTGATGTCAGACTATTGGAGAAACCCTTTCAGCTGCTTTCTAGATGTACCTAAATTCAGTCAGATATTTTGGATTAAGAAACCTGAAGTCCTGATAGATCATATACTCCAAGGAAATACATCAGGGACAGATAATTGGCTGAAAACACTGACGCTTCAATGTGACACATTTTTATAGAACATTTCTACCAGGGGGTACTGACTTGATTTCTCCTACAAGGACCACACTGCCTTTGTGTTTAATGTAATGCAATTTGTGTACCTTCTAATCATATCTGCAAAAGTTTCTCATTTTTATAAAAAATCATGCCAGTAAGCTAGATGTTGAATGTATGTAAGTAGCATTTGGTAACTGTGCTAAGAGGCTACAAAAGTGCATTATTGGTTTAAAAAAATTTTTTTTTTAGTTCTGACTTGGTTGGATAAGGTTTCTTTATGACCTCTTCTGGGTCTCAGGCTCTAATGCTTGATTGAAATAGAAGAAAATATATTGGTTTTTGAAAATCAGTGTATTGTGACTTGAACTGCTATACATTCTTCCACACAGTATGTCAGAGTGATTAGTGCTTTGTACATTTAGACATTTTTATTTTGTTGTTGTGAAAGAAAAATATACTGAATTTATAGAAAGCAAGTATTCTCCTAATTAACAAAGTTTAAAATATTATCTCTACTGATTAAAATTACAATAGATTTTGATAAATAAAATAACCAGAAAAATGCCTCTTGTTTTTTTCACACCTAAAAATCTACCCCCCCCCCCCGCCTCCCCCCACCCCGCCTTTTATTGTAAGAGGTTTTTGTAAGGGACTTTCTGTTAGAATCTTTATAAGAACAGTGAGATGCTTGTTTGAATTTGGTTGTGTGTAATATTTTTCAGCTCACGTGAAAATGGAAAACTAGAACCTGAACTATTACCTCCAACATTGCCAAAGTCCGGGGGAAAGCTAAAAGTTGATAAACAGAGATTTTTGATTTGTGTATATGTATATGTTTGTGTGTGTGTGTATAGTGTGTGTATGTATAAATCACAAAGAATATTTTAGCTATCCCTTCTTTTAATTTAAGGGATGTCAGATAAATGAATTAAAAGCAACAAAATAAATGAGGTGTAAAGGTCTGTAACATACAGAGTTTCAGGTGTGAAAGGAAAAGAGCCTTGTACTTACCAGGAGGTGAGATCTTGGCCATGGCTGGAGATCAGTCACTTTATGGCAGAAATGTCTGGTTAATTTAAGAGACTGAAGGGTTGTTTTTAATTCAACACATTGTGCATTTATTGGCATCTAAATCTAGCATGATTTTAGTTAAAACACAAAAATATACCAAATAATACCAAATTACAACAAAGGCTATAATAAACATAATAAGCTCTCCCTCTGGTTTGTTAGAAATCTTATGTTATACCTGAAAAGTTCGTTCTGAAAAACTTTCACCTTAGAGAATTTCATTTATTTCTGTGTGTATTCGTATATATTTTGTACATATACATAGTTGTTAATATTTCATGACCCTCTAATATTTTGTGTTTCATTCTTTTAAGTGATATAATTTGGCCCCAAAGAAGAAACATTTCATTTAGTTCAAATTTTGCATTCAGGGTCTTAGATTTCCTGTGCAAGATATAGTTAAAATGGAATGAGTCAGTCATAAACCATAGTCACATTTTCTAAGAGATTTTTGATATTCATTTGCATTTATTGGCATTTAATGTAAAATCGTTTTCAGATACACAGCTGTTACAAATATATGCCAGCAATATTCACGCTTTATCCTTTAACAACCTTTTGTTTCTATACTTCCTAATTTCCATTTTAAAAAGTTCTTCCATTTATGGACAAGCTAGTTAGGGAGAAAAATACTTGTTTTCTATAAAAAAACTTTGATTGATGCCATCTATGCCATGTTTGATTAAAAAATACAAAGAAATATCTGAAAGCTTTGGGAACTCTTCTCTGACATTAGTTTGAAATCATGTTACTAGAACATTTACGTGTTCTAGAACAAACCAAGTGTAAAGTGAAAGCTACCTTAGAAGTAAGATTTTTAAATATAAAAATATTTTGAGAATCTGGAGGGGGGTGATGGTTGTAATTTGAAATCCTGACCCCTACCACCACTCTTACCCTCCTGATGACTCTCCTGTGCCTGTTTATCATAGAATCAGAATTTTTGTGCTAAAGAGCCTGTAGAGATAATCTAGCCAGTCTCCCAGCACCCACCCCTCCATATCCATCCTCAGGAAACTGAGGCTCAGAAAGGTTGTAATGTGATCAAAGTCACATAACTAAGAAGCAGAGCCAGAATTAAACTCCTGTCTCCCGTTGAATGCATATTAACACCCCACTGCCTCCTTTTACTTGTCCTATGGTAAATGTAACACTCTCCACTTCTGTAGCTTCTTTACAGTTCTGGTCTAGTAGTTGGTGAATACAGCATGTGAAGAAAGGTATTAAATCCAGAAAAAAATGTAGAGTAGTAAACATAGATGGGGAAGTGTTGGAAATGTACGTATCTATACCACAGATATAAGGATAGATACATTTTTCTTATTCTGATTTATGCCTTACTATTTTCTGCCACATAGCAGTTGAATGCTGCCATTTTATAGTTGATTATATTTCTGGGGATTTATTTAAATGCAAAAATAAACCCAATGAAATGACTTTGATCAGTGTTTCTAGCTATCTTAAGTAATTTTTGAATCAGCCAAGCTTTCACAGTCTCCTAGATGGCAAGTTAATTGTATTGCACAGTGGAGTATTGCAAAGTAAAGATTAAATAAATTTGATTCCACAATTTCTAATGTAAAGAGATTGGACCTTATTTGTGCCCAGAGCAGATAGATAACAGCAATATTTCCTTATGTGATTGAAAAAGGTATATAGTGTGAAGCTTACGGTTCCATAACAGAATGGTGACCATGTCATTTAAAGTGTATATACAGGATAAAATATCTTAGTTGCAGTAGTCTCAGCTATATAAGCTCAGTATTTCCAACCTACATTCTCAAACTCCACTTAGTAGTTTTAAAGTAATTATAATTATTTATTAGACACTGGAATACTGAGAATAACTTCTTTCAGATTGTTTTGTTTGCACTATTTTTTGTGACTATTTTAATGAAGTGGGTTGTTTTTGCTGCCTCACTTGGATAGGTTAGTATGGGTCCATTTTTTGAGTACTTCGGTTGTTGACAGTCAGTTGTCTCATTTACTTCTCTGCATATTCATTTGTAAATAAAAACACTAGTATCTGTCTTTAGTGGGTAGTACACTGTTTATACAAACACTGGCAAGGGAGATCTCTCCATTTCTGATCTTAGGTTACAAAGTGAGGTTTATGGTTTTTTTTTTTTTAAATCAGTATTCAGTTACATACTTGTTTTTCAGTTTAAAAATGTTTAAAGGCCATGCCAGTGGTCAGAAAATCTACAAGAATTTCAGAGCAGCTTTTCTATACTATGGCTATGTTAAACAGTGTGAACCTGAGACTTTTTAATCTTTCAAGTTGAATGATTATTGTCATGTTTCAAACCACGAAGTCGGTTGAGACACTTATTTGTAGTACTTTAATTTTTTAAAGTGCTTTTTAGAAACAAATTGAAAACCAATTAGAAATAATTGATAGCTTAAACTCTAAATATTAGAATATTTGCCAGATTATAAGAAGATGAAATGCAGTGTAAAACTGTTAACATGCTAGAAAAAAATCATGAGTCACCAGATTGGTACAACTTTCCATTGCCAAGGTGGTCATGTTGATAAATGTAAGACAGAAATTTTAGTATTACCTGCGTTGTGTACCTAATGGGTATATCATATTGGCACTGAACATACATAGGAAATACTATTCAGAGTCAACCAATGTGCACTTAAACTATATTAGATTTTTGGCAGTGCCAGAAATTTGTGTGGTGATCTCAACCCATTAGAATTAGAGGAGTCATATCATCCAACCTTCCCCTGCCCATGTAGGTACATCCCTTCTGAACCTGACCACACAACCACAAAATTTTGGTTAACTTCAATCTCTTCATTATTTTTGTAGTCTTTGCCATTAGTCACATGAGAAATACACACAAGAGCAAACAGTTCAGGATAGACATTAGCAGAAAGCTGGGAATGATGTAAAATAACTGGCAGCATAGTACAGATATGTAAGTTCTATGTTTTGTTTCTGGGTTTTAAGAAATTGTTTACAAATTAAGTCACATTCGGATGTCTGCTATTTTGCTATTCTCTTTAATATAGATTTTACCCCCCAAATTAGAATTAGGTGTAGCTTAAAGTATAAATGAGTCTGTTTTTCATAATTGCATACCTGGAGGTAGGTTTAGTAAAGAAAGTCTTTTGTTTTCAAAGAAAATAAAGTTAATTGGACAATCCATCCCCAACTACAGAATTGATATCAATCTGGTTTGCTGTATTTGAGTGTCAAAAGTGCCGCGTTAATTATATCAGAGGAAGTTCTTCACTTCTTCATAAATTAAAAAATTTACCAAAGAAAATGTATTAACCAAATATAAATTTTGCAGTACCTAACTGTTAAGGAATGAGGCCCCATTAACATAATGGATTGATTTCTAGCCCTGGGGGAAATGTCCTTCCATCTGGAACAGATACACAGTACTTACAAGATTCCATTTGAGGTTTTCTTATCATGTTGGTAAAATGTCAACATTTATACTTCCAGCAAAAGTACCAGTGAAAGGTTAAGTCCAAATATTATTTCTTATGGCACATTTTCATGTCTCCTTAACTCAGATTGAGGATTCTGCTCATCAGTATTAAATAAAAGGGGGAGGGAGGAATTCCTAAAATTGGCATATTGTATGATATTGCGACTTTTAAAAAATAAAATTGGGTAAATTATGGAAATGTATCTTTAAATGGGCAATGTCAATTATATCTAGTAAATATATTGGCTAAAACAGTATTTTTACATATTTATGTACATGATCACTCTGGGTATTGTTTTTTTTCTTTGCAGAAAAACAGGATTGGGCTCAGAAAGCTGAAATACTCATTTTTAAATGTATAGCTTAATAAGAACTAATGGATTTACTTAAACTATTAAATAATGATTTTTTTGGAAAATATAAAACTGTATATTAACTGATGTTCCAAACAGGCTATATGTATTATTTTTTTCATATCAGGTGGTAGTTAAAGAGTAATGAATGTGTTAATCAGCTATCTTAGAAAAGAAGATTGGCTTTCTAACAATTACTAATATAGGTTTTTGTGGGGTTTTTTAAGTTTTATCATCCAAACTAAATTGAGAGCTATGTTCAATATTCTTTGTTGGTTTTAAAATTTGTAATAAGTTCATTAACTACAGTGGATTCTTATTCTAAAAATTATGCTGGCTTTACATTCAGTTTAACTGGTTAAGTGAAACAGTTTTTATGGTGCAGATTATTTCCCCACTTTCTCATAATAATTTGGCTTTCCTGAGCTACAATTTCTGAAAAATTTTTACTGCTGTAACATTAGGTAGTCTGATCTCTGTCACAATGGACAAGTATACAGGAAATATCTCACTTACACATGTTTGCTTCATAAAAGGATATAGATTGTATAGGTCAGCTCTTGCATTTTTGTTTGTCTTTTAACGAGCAACAACCTATTGCTTGGTATAAACTTCTCAAGTATTCAGAGAATAGTGCTGGTTAAAATTTAAATAGGCTAGGCATGAAGAAAATATGATCTCTGTTGACTGACGTCCTTTCAAACTAGGACTAGTGAAAACATTCATTTTTTTTCAGAACTGAAGGAAAAAAAACATACATTTAAGATCATATTTATTGGTGCATGTAAGCCATTATCTTAACTGTCTTACTGAACTGGTTAATGCTGTTGATTGTTGAAATGTGAAATGTAGTCACTGTTGACCTTGTAAATATCTGCCAGAGATGAAAAAATATTTTAAGTTATTGTAAATAAAGATGTATAAAATTCATTAACGGTCTGCAATGCAGAAACATATCTAAGATGTTAAATATTGTGTTTCTTGAGAGATGTGTAATTTTTCCCTAGATGTATCTAGATACATTAAGAATGTAAATTTTCTTTTGTACAGTATAAAATACAGCTTTATTTGGCTTTTGACTGGATTTCCCGGAGTTAATTTTATATCTACCTAAGTTTCATAGCTTAAAATTGTCCTTCATTGCATTTT